AAGTTCATACAACAATATTCTTTTTTGTTAAATTCTTCTTTGTAATCTAATTAAGAAATGAAACTCTTTCTTTTTCTGATACCCAGGTCGAGCAAGCACGGTCGTAAACAGTTGTATACGGAGAAATACGGCAAAATACATGGTCCAGTATTACGATCGTATATGTCTGTATGCGGTCACAGCGATATACGATCGTAACACTGGACCATGTAAACCACTAAAATACGACCGTAAGCGGTCGTATAGGGAGCGTATACGACTGTTTACAGTCGTATATGAATTCCGTAATCGTCGACCTGGGTATATTAAAGAAATAAAACTTTTCTGTACTATTTATCTTCTTGGTTCAATAACTGTAAAAGACAATCGAGAGAAGGTTCTCTGTGTCACATTTATAAATGATAAATAAATGAAAGACAAGATTCATTACGAATTACAGAGAACAGAAGAAAGGAGCAAATAAAAAAAACAAGCATAGGTGAACATAAAATGAAGGAAGGAACACAGATTGCATGGAAGGGAAAACATTAATAACAGAGATGTTTTCATGAAAAAGACATTCTCCATTAAGTAATGCTACTAAATAGTTAGAAGATTGGAGATAGAGAAATACATTAACATCTGAGAATCGCAACAGTCTTTTTCATGATCATATTGTCTGACTCTATTGAAAGCAAATAACAGGTGAGATAAAAATTTCTGGAAAAATGCCACTACATTTTCTATTCCCTAAAACATTTTGGAAAAATCAAGACTACATATCAAACACCTATGTTGAAAGCTCTTTTTAACTATATGTTTCAAAAAAATGGTATCGTCTCGCGTTTTTAAGTACTGAAGAAATTTTAAAATAGTACTACAATGTACTTTGAAAAAACAATTTCAATTCAAGACGAGAAAAGCAAGTGATCTCTGGATAGTTTTCGATAACCTACCAAGCTTTCCATTGAATTTGACTGTTTTTTTCCTTAGATTTGCCGTTTACTTCTTCACAAACCTGATAACAAATAGTACAAGATACTTTTAGTTAACATAATGAATAAATTTAGAAAAGCAAGGATACACGAAATATAAAAAAAGTCAGATGTAACAAAAAAAAGTGGGAATATCATAGAAGATTTTTTAGATTTGAATAGCGCTGTTTTATGAAAACCTATGAAACGGTGACTAAGAGAAATCTAGGACACTACCGATATAGATATAATTATCAAAGCTTTAATGCCGCTGACGTACAGAAACTACAACTACAAATGTCAAATAAAATAAAAAAATATTGATTTAACGAGTAACTAGAACTCCGTAGTTGTTTTTATTTCGTGTTATCTAAACCAATGTCATAATATATTCTTCATGATTCGTCAAAACTTACATGAGAAATTTAATAGAGAAAAGATATACAGGGTGGGTAAAAATATTTTTCTAGAAGGATGACGCTATAATTTCAAATAGCATACGTAACAAATTTGATATTAAATTCTAGCGCGTCGAAAATGGGGTTTATAGATGCTAAATAATAAAGGTTATGGCAACTTTACAGTGTCAAATGCAGAAAAATCCTACAGTTTTACACCATGTTGCCATCGAAAAACTACTTTCGTTTGACAGTTCAAACTAGATCTCATTGAAAATGATAAATAACACAAAATATTTGGTACATAGCCCGAAACAAATTGTGATAATAATCGAAAAAGAAACTAAAAGAAAACGCTGTCGGAGACGGAATACAACCGTTACGGTGAAGAAATTCTGAAAAATATATTTCAGATGTTTTGACAAACATTGAATTATTTGAAATTATGTCACGTTCGTATCCGTCTCATCTTCATGCTGTAAAGAAAGATAATGATTATCATTCTGATTATTGGTCATATTCATCAAACCTTAAGAGATCAGTAGTGCTTTATGTTATTCATCATATTAAATGAGATCTAGTTTGAACTGTCTCATGAAAGTAATTTTTCGATGTCAATATGATGTAAAATTTATTATGGATGCTATTTGAAATCATAGTGTTACCACCCTGGGAAAATATTTTTACCCACCCTGTACAATATCTAACGAAATGAACATGACAAAGTCAGAAGAATTTTTGTGACAACCATTTCGAGTCGTTTTTACACACCACATTTCAGTACTATCTCAAGATTTGTTCAATACTCAAAAATGACACACGATAGATTATTTTTGACCACGGACTTAGAAATAGAAAGAACTTTCAACGACGATGCTGAGTACATGATCCTGATTTTTCCATAGTACGTTTTAACGAATGAAAACTGAAACGACATTTTTAAAGAAACTTTACTTTCAAAGAATTCTTTCGATATTACAAATGACAGACGTTGAAATCAACTCGCGAAAGCTTTGACTATTTACTCATCTCTCGATAGTAGAGAATTCATAATAAGATTGTAATTCCAGTATTCATCCTTTCTACTCTCGTTAGAAAACACAAAGTATCATTCTAGGTTTTCATTCAAACACGGGTTATTGTGGTTTTCCTATTGTTACTATTTTTATTTATTCAAGAAAGTAACTATAGACATTCTCTTATGTTTCTATTCGATGCAATGACGAATGAAAAGATTATTCACAATCAATGTTAGAAGTAACAATAAAAATATTCTATCAATGCAATTCTTTATCTATGAAGGATTTCTCTTAAGATTCTACAATGAAATATATGATGTGGCAGACTATACATCGTATATAATATGAAACAATGTATTTCAGCTGCATATCAATTATGTTACATACAGGAGCAATGATCGTTGTATTCAAAAATAGCCAAAACAACACCTAAAATAAAATATCTTTTTGCATTTCTAACACAAATAAAACTAAGGTTTACCGTGGCAAAATGTTAAAAAATAGCTGATTTAATTGTTAAAAATTTCAAAACAAGTTCATATTTTGCTAAAATATGTTTCATTGATTCATAAAATAAAATTAATCCATAAAATGCAACTGATACAGATATATTATAAACTAATGTTAAATCTAGATAACCACCGTTACAGAAAAATCTCCATCTTTATATTTATCAAATGCTTGCAAAACAAGCATTATTAAGAACATTAAAGGTTTCATTAAACAAACTTGAAGCATTGCCTAAAAAGAAGACACTTTTTAATTGAATTTTTTCTTTCTTTACCTCTTTGCAGAATCTTAAAAATTCAATTGTATATTCTCGACTTGACAAGCAACATGTACGTGGCCGTCAACTTCGTCTGAAAAACCTCCTCATATTTCAAATATATAAAATTTAATAACCTACTCAATATGTTTCCCACGAATTTCTGCCATAATCGATTCTTCTCCATCCAAATATTCATAACAAAGTGAAAGAAAACTATACATGCCACAAGCTAAAAAAGAAAATTTAATTTTCATAAAAATATTCTTATTATTTAACCTTCATATCAATCTTGAATAGAATGAAAATAGACGTAATATGAATCATTTGTAAACAAAATGAAACTAAGACATGAAACAAATGAATACATAGCAACTATAAATAAAAGACGTAAAATCCATTTTTATTCTAATGGAACTCTATAATGACATAAACGAAGATAAATCTAAATAATAAATAAAAATAAAATAAGAAAAATAATAAACTAGTTTTTTTTTTTTGTCTTTTACATGATAAACAGTGATAAGAATAGTTGTCCAAGTAAATGCTTAGGAAATAGCTTGACAAGCAATTGTGTGCAAAAATAAACGGTTATTATAATTAACTGTTGTTGTTTGCGGTATTGTTGATGATTGAGTATTTGTAGATATAGAAGAATTATTCGACATTGCTGATGAACTGAGTTTGAGTTACTTTTATTGTTTATCTAAAACAACTAAAATTCGTATCTAAATGAATCACTGGTCAAACTAATGTTGCAATTGAATAAGTTTTGACTGTATGATGTTTTTTTTTCCTCTGTAAATAGTAACACAAGAAGCGACACTATGATAAAATCAATTATAGATCAATAAATAAGCATACAATAACAGAGCACTCGACTCGTTAATCACTGATGAAAAATAACAATTTCTTTCTTTTCTTCGTCTTTTTCGTTAGTTCTTATAAAACCGTTGGATATTTTCACAATAAGTTTTTTTATTAAATTTAGCTCGTGTTCCATTGTTATTTTAAATTTTTCAATAGTTTTAAATGCAAAATTTTTTAAAATTATTCTGTTTTCTTAAAATTTTTATTTAGACTAAATAATTTCTATTTTTTTAATTTTTTTATTATTTAATTCTTTTTATTTGTACAATCAATAATTTCTAATTGTCTTAATGTGTATTTTTGTGTTCTTTTCAAGTTGTTACGTTTTTTTAAAATATAAATAAACGTCTAAAAAAATTATTTACTTTTCCAAAGTTCATTAGAAAACCCTATGAAGTAGCACCCATAAATAGATCGAGGATATGAAAGTCGACCGATAAAGAGATCTGTGACGAGCAGTGCGTACGCTTTGTACGTGCTGTGGTGCGGTATACATGCAACACTCGATACGCGTACGCCATCACAGAGTTCACACTTAGTACGCGTTACGTCACCTCTATGCTCGTCACGAGTACCAATCGAATGAACGTCATGCGCACCACTGAGTACGAGTCGACATGGCTGATCACACTACATTAAATCTGTTGGTTCTACCATTTTGTTTCTATTGCCTCCATCATGGTACTCATTGAGAAATAAAAAATGATTATTTAGCTCGAAAAACAGAAAAAAAAGTAGAAATTAAGTTTTGTTTCCGGTAAATTTAAAAAAATATATCTTTGTGATTATTAAAACTATGATCACTATGGTGATAGAATCCATATATCGATTGACACAGTTACTGTCAGAAATATTTAAAAAACATTAAGATCATGCCGGTTCAAAGACACGTATGTAATTATCATTTGAATTGCATCTATTTGATGTTTTCCCTTAGAATGCGAATGATCAATCGTCATCAAATAGTTTTCTTCAACAAATATTTGAAAGTCGTATGAAAGTAAATTATTTAATAGTTTTGAAAAATTGATTTTTACTTTAAATTGAAAAAGAATGAAATTGATGAAAATGATTTACTGATTTTACTTAATGATACGGAATTATCTCGTTCATTTGATCGACATTCAAAATTCACTATTGATCATTGCAAATTACTGATAGCAGCTGTTGTTCATGTAAGATTTTTCTTCAAATTAACAAATTTTAATCTTTTGTAATTTATTCTAGTCGAAAAGTACATTAAATTTGCCAGAATTTATTTCTGTAATAAATCTTCTTTATACATGGAGAAATTTTTTCCGTCGTCATGATCTTGATCGAAATGGTATTATTGAACCCTATGCTCTTGTTAATATACTTAATTCTTTACGTAAATAGGATAAATTTGATTTCTTGTTGATTCATTTTTTTTCTTTAATTTAAATCTAATAGGATTTAATTTATCACCATCAACACTTGAAACAATTGTAAAACGATATTCAACACGTGTTGATGAAAATTCATCAGGAAAAATTTCATTTGAACATTATGTTCAATTATGTGCTCGATTAACTTTACTCAATGGTATGTTTAAACAAAAAAAGATATAAGAAAGAAAATGATCAGAATCTTATTGTAGATTTAATGCAACAAAAGTCAACAAATGATTCACCAAGAAATGTGTGTTCATTTTCAATCGATGAAGTTAGTTAGCAGAACACTCTTCATTTGCTTTATGATAAAAGTTTTTTGTTTAATTCTAGTTTATGCAGTTGGCACTTAGTCTATAAGAATTAACATTCTCATATACGAGAGAAAACGAACGTCTGCATTTCAAGAGCAAGTGTGATATGAATAATCTCATTTTTATGTGTGTCTGTGCGTGTGTGTGTTTCTCTATATGAAAATATAGTTTTATTCTCTTTGAATATTTATAAAAAGAAGTTTTGCTTTAAACGTAAACACCATCTAGGAAAATAATGCGGTCGTAATACGAAGACAATTAATGAAAATTGAATGAAAACTCTATTCCTTTTTATATTCTCGATGAAAAAAAATGAAAGTTTCAGTCAGATCTCTGTTTCAGAGATGTTATTATACACGAAAATGTTCATTTTATACTTTTAATGCCCATTATCAACGAGAGAAGATCCATCGCTGATTCATTCCATTTTCCATTGTATCTTGTTGATATTTTGAGAAATGAGATGATAATGATTTGGTTTCTTAAAAAATTAATATTACCAGAAGAAGATATTTTTCTCCATCAAAACTTTTAGAGCGCGCAAGTAACCATGTGTATTATAGATATAGGGATAAATTTTCAGATTGAAATGCTGCTGTGCTTTTTTTTGTTATCTGTAGATTCTATATCACAGCTTGTAAAATCAGTAAAATGATGATAGTCTTCGAAGAAATCTTCATTGACAAAGCTCATTGTAGAATTTTTTTTAGAATTATGTCTCGACTGCATGTAAAAAATATTACTAAAAAAGCTTGGATTAATTTGAGATCCACTTTTATAAGTGATAAAATGCTAAAAATAAGTCAATGTATTAATAAGAGTGGTAGCTTATTTTCTTGACGAAGTAAGAAAATCAAGCATTTATTTGTTGTATTATTCATTTATACGAAAGGAAATACATTAAAGATCAGAAGAACTTTTATAAATTCATATTTCTATGAGTATATACTTATATAAATCATTAAACATGCAAATATAGAAAATAATTTTCTTGTTAATGTGTGTTCTTATCAAAAGAAAGTATTTCACTTGGATGATTTAGTGTCAAGTAGATCTTTTATGTTACTATCTTTATAAATGATATTTTAATTAGTACAATATTGCTTGTTCTTTGCTTACATAATTTTCTACTCATTGCAATATCTTACACATTTTATTTTTTGCGCATTGTACTGCACTCATTGTTTGATTGCATGATTGTTTAGTTGAAAAATACTTAATAAGATTATTATAAATTATATTCATGAGCTAATTCTTGTATTATTGTTTTTTTTTTTAGTTTATCGCATGCTTTGAGAAAGTAAAAAATTATTGTAGAATTCAGATGAAATGGAACAATAGCTTTATAATTATTTGATCTCAAATGTTAATAACAATATTCAAGGTCTTTCGATTCTTTACTATTCAAGTATAAAATAAAGCAATATTTTGATAACAAGAAAAAATATGTACCAAAATGATCAATGTAATTAAACAGTTCATCAGTTATAGAATCGAATCCAAAGACCAAGAACACATTCTATAATGCCTCTCTTGAGAAACATGAATTTCCAATAAATAGTTTGATTATTGATCTAACATTTTTTGTCGTGAAACTTCGAAACAATTTTCCTATCGATACGAAATTGACTTGAGAGAATAATAAGAAATTGTGCTACTACATATGTTGAAGCACATATAATGAAATTGTTTATATACCGTTTTAAATGCATTTTTGTTACTTTTATCATTTTATTTGTTTCTATTATATTCTTTAACAAGTGAAACAAACAAGTTATTAATAAGAAAGTGTAAAAAATATTTACTTGTAGTTTGAAGAAAGAAAATGATAAACTTTTTCTACAAATAAACACTTAAATGAAATGGGTTTACTGTGACATGTTTACTTTGAATTGAATTCATCTCAAATTATGTATATTTCGAATCATACCGATTCATAAACATGATTAACTTTCTCTTTTACTGTAACAATATACTATGCATTAAATATGTATTGATCCTTTCATAACTATGCTATTTATCAAGAATGTTTATTAAACAACTTGCGATATATAAATAATTTCAAAAGCATAAAGAATCACGCAAACTTTTCGTCGATGGTTATAAATATCACAATCATTTGTATGATGTTGTATGATAAAATATTTGTCTTACACAGAGTAATAAATGCATAATATGTATGAGCTTCACTATTTTTGAATCAAATCAATACGAGATCAAAATATAAATGAATTTTAATTGAACAAAGATCGACATTTGTTTTTATGAAATTTGATTTAAGATTTTTAGCAAAATAAAAAGGTAAACCTCTACATTATCTACATTATCTTATTAAAAAAACATTTACGCCAATAATAATAACAGACGTCTTAGAATATTAATTATACCATGTTGCAATATTATTTGGTTTTATTCTGATTCAAACTTGTTATGACAATAGAAACTAAAATAATAGCACATAAAACAATGAAAAAGATAGCAGATGAAAATACATAGAATGTAGTTTTCTTCGAACAAAAGCATTGTTCTTTTTCTCTAGATTATAACATATAAAATGAATTAAATTATAATTTAATGATAGATTTACATTCCTATTGGTTTTACATCGTCTCTAAACCATTTTTGAACGTCGTTATCGATAGGTTGATCCTGCAATGTATAGATAGAGAGTATTATGTACAAAAAAATAACGATCTTCATAAAAGAAGAATAACTTACAAATGCATGGGTATAGCCCGTACGAATTATATTTATTGAAGTGCTCATTATATGTAAATGTAAGTAAATTCTGCCTTCTTGCTTTGCAGTAAAGTCAACATAAATGGTGATTATTTTTTTTTAAATAACAATCTTTTTTTCATCTGTAAACTGTTAAACACTTGCATCTGTATTTAGTATTTTCGGAAGCCCCAGTCATAAATTAAATACCTATGTAAACGCACATCGAAAGATTCATTGAAAAAGTACTGAAAAAAAATTTTTTTTTTTCTAAAAAAGAAACTGTTATTTTTATTGTTCAAAGCAAAACTTTTTTTTCTTCAGGACAATAATAAAAAATGGTATTCATCTTTATATAATGATTTCATATTTTTGCTGCCATGAAAGTGACGATTCATGTGTTCATGTAGTTTTTGAAAAGGTTACACATGATATGAAAGTTCTCTAAGGAGTTTCATAGAACTAAGGTCTCTGGTTTGGCCACTGCAAAACTGCATTATAAAGGAACATCACCAATATATACCAAGTGTAAAGTTTCTGGACAAGTATGAATTCGAAGTGGTGCATAGAAAATTGTTGACAACGGTCTTTTTCACGCACAAAGTATGACCAAGGTAGGGTTCGACAGAATATCGATACTTAGTCAAAGTGCCTCTATCGGTGGTCATTGTGAGACATTCATGTGATCATTCGACAAAATTATAGAATTGGAAGTAGTAGAACACTCGTGACGTATTAACTCATAAGAGAGAGAAGCTTCGGTCAATTAAACTAGAGCTTTCATGCTCATCAAATGGTCCTTCGCGATGGATTTCGACATCATCGAATTTTGGTTAAATATTGTAAGAAACAATAATTGATGAGGGTGCTTTTCTCCCTAATATTTTTTCAAAAAAAAAGAATACATTAACATAATAAGTCAGCCATGGATTACAACATGGACATATTTATTCACCTTAGTTCAACATTAAGATTTCTTGTATCTGTATCCCTACGGCACACTTAACTTTTTTTTCCTTCAATTTGAGTCAAATGCATGCCACAATGTAGTTAACGGTGCTGATTACGAATAACATCTTAGTTTTTTTGTCGAAATTATTTCAAGGAAGAAAGCGTAGGTGTGGTTCGTTTTCTCACTCACATACCCACACTCATACCAACAGTTCCACCCACATCTACTTGACCCTGCAGAAGTTCCGGTTCCAGTTCCATAGAACCGTAACGATTTTACAGTCTCTATGCCGTAGGCTATTTAGCTTATCAAGCCACTGTTAGAGAGTACAAATTAGACTGCATAAATGTGTAATATAAATGATGAAAACACAGTTTCTCCAAAAGACGTCTTTTCGGCCATCGTTATTGATCATGCGTCCTTTATTAGTGTCGTCATGGTACTCAGAAACAATACAGCCAGCTTGACTTGCTCTCTCGATATGATGGACAGCAAAACGAAATATTGTTTTTGTTTGTCGTTAATAAACAATCGGTTTTGGATACTTGTTCTATTCTTAAGTCATGGCGTATAGAAACTTTATTATCATTTCCTTTTTTAACAGAACTATGGCTTGTCAATAGTGTTCTGTGAAAACGAGTATTTTCCGTCCTGTTTCTCGCTGGAATTAGCAATGGAAGAGAATTTCCGTGAAGACTTCAAAAACGAGAACGACATTGAGAACGGGCGTTCCTAAAAATCATTTTGTTTTGTTTTTATATCCATGAAGACATTTTTATGTAGCATCTTTTTTGTAAGTAACAACTATGTTTGTTGATAATAAGCCATGCAAAAGTTTTTGAAAAAATATCGAGACTCCTTTGTCAACAGCCGAATATCGAATCAATCTGAACCTTTTTTGGGGGTTTGAAAGAGCAAAGTCTGGAAAATGCAACAGATCAATATAATTAAAATTTTTAATTTTGTTTTTTTATCATGAAATTTGAATACGAAGCAACACTCCGTATATCTTCCAAACCTGGTTTTTCGATTTTTCAAGTCGCTAACTTCGCAATTGCACTTGTCTCAAACTTTAAGTTAAACTTATTCATGAATATAGTGTTTCAATCCCTATCATTCTATCTATATCGAGATTTTTTTGTTACATTGTTGATAACAAAGTTCTCTTTTACTATTTGCCGTCCGCTGGAATATTAGTTTGGTAAAAATTATGAAGTAGAAAAACAAGACAGTCCGTAAGAGAGCTGAAACTATTTTAAATGAAGTTTTTTCGGGATCTATGTCTTAGATACAGTATCTTTAGTCGGCTCTATCTAACGGTATATTCTGGTCATGGCACAAAGATATTGAAGTTGTACTACTGTAGTTGCCAAATAAATGTGTTCGTGTTTCGTGATGGTTTTTAAAGATCAGGAACAATGATGATATCGCACAACATAAATCAACCAGAAAAATAATGTTTTGCCTTATGTTTATGCTCTGATAAATTCGATTTTTTCGAACAAAAAAGGTCGAAGTCAAGCCAATGATACATTGCTGAGAAATAAACCTCGGCATACTTCTAAAGACTTGCATCCCTGATTAATTAACAGAAAAATAACCAATATCTACCAGCAAAAACTACATAGGTTCATTCATTTTTTATTCAATTGTAATTCAGTTATTACAACTATTATTTTCTTTGTGATTATCATCTTCGACAGGACTATTATTCAGATTATCTCGGAAGCTAACATTATTATTATTATCTTCTTCTCTTGAACGCTTTCGATTTTGCATCGATTTTGTTGATCTTCTAGTATTTTTTTCGCTTTTCAATTGTTAAATTGCTGAACAAAAATATTTTTCTTAACTTAACATGAACAAGTTTCGACATATAAATAATAATATGATTTATCTTGCTAAAATATACCTCCAACCATAATTTTATTTTTAATTTAAGGTCATCTTACGCTGTCTCACTTTTGAATGATCAATTTTCATTTCAATTCTTCGTTTTGTATTCTAATATGTTTAAACTACTAATCCATAACATGTGGTAAGGAAATTAAAGTAGAAAAAAAAGGTTCAAACCTAATCGTCGAGTAATATGATCATACAACATGCCCAGGTGAAGCTGCAAATTCAGGCATCAATTTTTTCCGTGAACTTGCTTGACATTCATATGGGCAAATCACAATTGTTAGTCTACATGACCGCCGATTTCCCATGTGGAAATATTTGCCTTCGTAGACTATTTCTAAGCGTCTTAGAAAAGCTTACACTTGAATAAGCTGCTGTGAAGCAGTTAATTTCACTCGTTACAAACTGCTGAAAGCCGCTTAAAAGAGCTTAGAAAACGGTTATCACTTTTGTTATTTCTAAGTGCTGTACAGCACTTAATCTGTAAATTGCTGGCAAGTACTGTATTTTTTTTCTTACATTTAAGCGCTTGGTAGAACTTATAGTAAAAAGCACTGGGATGTACTGTGATTTTTCTCATATTTAAGTGTTACAATGCATTGTAATCTTGAAACATATGTATTGTAGAGAAGAATATTTATTATCAAAGTGAGATTTGAAGCAACGTTTTGTTGTAGCCTTCTCATAATATATGCTGATCACTGCTAGAGTATGGCGCATATCACTTGTTTAAGCTTGATTTAACTTTAATATTTATAGAAAATTTGTTGCGTTCTTTACTTTTACGTGATTATAGAGTAATCCGTTCGTTAACACGTTGCTATTGGCTTGTCTTTGTTTTATTGTTTGCTCAAATATCTTTTCTTCCTAACGGACCATGGCGGAAAAGAAGGAAAGAAACATTTATCATTCATTTGATACGATAACAGTGTAGCGATCACTTGAGAAAGAAGTGGAAGAAAATAGCTGTATAATGAACAATAATTTTATTATTATATCCTCGTACTTATACATAGAAGAAAATTTTCGTTTAGTCCTTGAAAAAGTGATTTATGAGTAAGACTTTACCTACTGAACTAATTATCTGCCTGTTGAAAAAGCGGTGAACAGACCAGTTGTTTTTACTACGTAGATAACGTGTTTTGAGTCGTATTTTCAATATATTTTGTCTTGTGATCCTAAATTTCAGCTAGATTTTTTTGAAATAATGATGTCTTTTTCCTTAATTTTTTTATCATTGCTTGGTATCACTATTCTCAATTCATTTTTTTATTTTTTCATTTCTGTGAACTAGTTCTTCCGTTTGCTTTCTTAAGAGAGGTTTCGCCAGCCCATCGAGAATCGTTGGAACATGGTCGAAAAAAAAATCTTGTTTTTTTTATCTCATTCGATTGCTTGAAGAAAACTAAGATTATGAAAATTTTTTTAGATCTTGAAAACTTTCGTTGACGGAGTTATAGACTTCACAACAAGTGGGGGGTCTGAAAAATGGCAAAAAAATATGTTTTTTTTATCTTTTAGTATTTTGCCCGTAACTTTGCCATTTTTCATCTGTTTTTTTTGGGCAACATCTCATTCGAAAGAGCTCATTAAACTGAACAAAAAAGTTTCTTATGAGATTTCTGAAAACTGAAGTCTTCATAGGGAAAAAACGAGTTTTCCAAAAAACTCAGCATTTGTCGGATGTAGTGTTTTTCCTTTGCAAGCCATTTTTCGAGGCTATGAAAGTCGAATAGGAAAATCTAGTATGGTGTATTTTGTAGAGAATTTCACGCTCTACAAAATCCATATAAAAAATTTNTTTTTAACGTACATCATTTTAAATGGGATTTAGTTTGAATTATCTCATGAAAAGTATTTTGTATGCCAACAGAATGTAAACATCTATAAATTTCCCGAATGACTTTTCGCTGAGGCACCATCATAATCTTTACCAGTTAATATTGACAAATCCTTAATTTTTATTCGCTTTAATTTAATATAAAATTTGTTATCAAAGGTACTTGAAATCATAGTATTACTTCCCTGAATAAATACTTTAACGTACTCTGTATCTATTATGCTATTAATTTTATTTGTGTACTAGTCTTAAGTTATATACTTTTTTAATTACATGCGACTTTATTTCGTTGTCTATTCTATTAGTCTAGAGCACTATTAAATAATATCTTAGTATCATCCTTCTTGCATTTGTGGCAAAGACTTCTCACCAAAATACTTCCTCATGTTTTAATCATCTCATCAAGATTCATTCTTCTAGAGAGAAAAAACAATTTAATTTATCTCTATTGATTATAATATGAAGATAACGAAGAGGAATACAAATTTAAGTCAGTAAAATTTATTGAGAAAAAACTTTTAATTAATAAAACCGTTAAAATCATTATCCGTTTTATAAACGACTAAAATTTTCACTTCCATTCCATTGATAGCTCCATCTTCATAAATATTTAAAGCATGAGTATTTGTTGATCTATAATAATGTATATTTGAATCTGTTTGTAGATCGTTTGTTTGCCAACTATTTTCATAAGATGATATTGGATTTGAAAATGCATATAACATATTATCATTTACACGGCATTCAATATCTGTAGCTTAAAAATAATGAAAATTATAAATAGCAGTATCAAATCGAGCTTGATTAAGTTGTGGAGTGGAATCATATGATGATAATATTGGAGTTGAACATGTTGAAAGAGATGCCATTGAGATTCCAAATGAATTCGAATATGATAAAAATGTATCCGCTTTTCTTTTTCATGTCATTAAATTTTGATAATTACCATTTGATATTAAATATGATTCAAGTAAATAAATATTACGAGAATCTAAAAGCATTGGACTTCCAAACATAACATCATCTGGGTCCCATGTATTCATCGTTACTCCTAAATTTAATGAATAACAAGAAGAGATCATTTTATTTTGACGAGAACGAGTTACACCAAAATCAAAATTACAATATCAATTTTATCTTGTAAAAATTTTAAAAACTTCTTACTCACGAGGGAAGTATCCCAAGTGATTAATCGCTTTTGAGTTCAAACTCTGTGCATAAGGTAGGCCCTAGTGAGGCATGAAAAGCCCTAAAAGAATAAGGATCCATAGGCCTTCTGTCCAAAGTTATAGCCATTTTGCTGGAATTTTAGCCTAAAGTACGGTAAACACTAACAAATCAAATGAAGGTATTTCGACCTGAAATTTCACCCAGATCTACTTGTAACTAGAATGCTCTGAAATTTTCAGCTAAAAGAAATATTTTCTTCCCAAGATATCGAGTTCCCAAAAATCACTCATAATCCATGAAATATGCGACTCTCATATCTGTTTTTGTAAACTCGATATCTTGGGAAGAAAATATTTCTTTTAGCTGAAAATTTCAGAGCATTCTAGTTATAAGTAGACCTGGATGAAATGTCAGGTCAAAATACTTTCATTTGATTTGTTAATGTATACCGTACTTTAGCCTAAAATTCCAGTAAAATGGCTATAACTTTGGACAGAAGGCCTATGGACCCTTAACCGTTTAGAGTTTTTCATATCTCGCTGGGATCTACCTTATGGACAGACTTTGAACTCAAAAGCGATTAATCACTTGGGATGCTTTCCTCGTCAGCATCATCCCACAAAATTCCTTTGATTAATATAGCTGCCCAATTATCAACAATTGTTTGCATTTGTAAAATAGATTAATTATTTGTTGTAACTCCTAGATCAACATAACCAAATCTTAATTTCATTAGTCATAAAAATCTTTGATAATTTTGATTTAGTGTTATCTCTATTACGTTTTTGAATAATGACAAGTGAAATAATAGCAGCACTAATTACAAGAACTGATACACGCATAATTGTTAAAACTAAACCTATTTTGGTGAAACCATTTGTCGATGTACAACAGCAGGATTCTGAAGCACATCCTACCTTTTTCTCACGATCCGATCGTTTATCTTCATCGGTTGAATCAAATCAAACAGGTTTTCGCTGATTACGATTAATATGAATCGATGATGTTAGGAAAACAAGTGACTAAAATCAATTTAAAATAAAAGTCTTTAACAAGACAATGAATATTTTCATTATTGTTACCTCAATGGACGTTCTAAATTCGAATAAATTTATTTTGTACTTTTGCTTTATGAATAATGGCATTCGGTTGGTATGTATTTTTCATTTTCTTTTGCAATAAAAATATCAATCAGTGAAAGCATATTAATAGACAAAAAGTGTTGATATTCTAAGTCTTTCTATCTAGATACGTAAAACGATGTTGTTATTGTTGTAGTTCACTTTCATTTTTACTTTAAAAGAAACCTCATTTTGTTTTGTTAACAAAACTTGTGTTCCTATTTTGCATTATTAAAGAAAAAAAATCATTAAACAATAAAAATAATTCATTTCAACTCCCTTTTGTTATTATTGTCTCAATTATTTCTATTGAAAAACCACTATTACATCACTACTGGCATGATGTTGTAGTAAAGCTTTCTGAAAGAAAACTTTAAAACACGGGTTAACTCAAGATCGAATAAAAAAAAATCTTTGGAAAAAAATTAAAAACATCCCATATCTCTGTTTAATTATCAGTCACACAAAGATTTCTTTTGAAAGATATTTCATTGTACTATTAAATTATTTAATCATTAACTAATGAGATTGTTTCACGAACAAAGACCGATGTTTTTTATCCATAAATTGATAAAATTAAATTGCTATACATCATTAACTGAACCATTGAGATATAAATAGAATTTTCTTCATATAATTTATTGATGATTATTTTAGTAAATGTTTAAATTGTTACTGTTTCATAGTCTTGTTTTGTATTAACATTTCAATCCTCCAATGTATAAATAACAGTTTCGCTTTTAAAAGTTCAAAGGTTTGGATTTATTTCAAGAGAAAAACTTTCTTTTATGAGCTTGTAATTCTATGACTACTTGCAATAATTGTATTTGTAAGATCGTTTTCACTAAACTTAGTTCGACCAACTGACACTATTCATCAAAATACAAATTTTGTTTTTGAAGACTTGATTATGCGTTTAGACCTGGCATCGTGAAATAAGTATATCTGAATAAGCTTTTTAATTTCGTTTTTATAAATATGACTTTATAATAACTCATTTTTTCTTTTTTTTTTCGATTATTTAATATAATACGATTATTACTTATTCCATAGGTTCCTCTTTGGTAATACAAACCAAATAAAGTCCGTAAAAGAACAATAACAATCGTTTCTCCAAAAATATAATGCTTGCAGTCATTTTTACAATAACTGAAGAAGGAAAAAACTACAAGAACTGCGTCTTTTACTCTTGCTTAGCTCAATGAATACTCTATAGATTCACCAATAAATACTTGAAATCTGTATAGTTTTAAAGTTTCATCACCGTGAATCTTCCAAATATTGTTTGGCGACGATTTTTAGCTCCTTAAATGTATAAACTACTCAAAATATAATTCAAAGAGGCATTCTAAAACTGCCGAAAAACTGATCTCTCTCATTTCTGTGGCTCTTGAAGATTATTCATATTCCTGAAACTCATAAAAATGATTTTGTTTATGTATTTCTTGACTTTATTGTAAAATGATAAATCCAAAATAAAACATCTTAATCAAATTTCATAAATAAGGGAGAAATTTCAATTTTAGGTGTATAGTATCAGAGAAGTTGAATATTTCTCTTTTAAAATATGTAATACTTTATTCAACAGTAGCACCCATAGTTATATTTTTCTTTTCTCGCAAATTTTCAGTTGACTACACTAACTATTTTTGAATTTAGCAGGTCCATTGCATTCGTAAAATTGATTTCTACAAGATAAAACATTGTTTGTCATGCATTTAACTGAGTACTTTTCTGATTACTAATGCTGAAAAAGATTCGTTTTTCATGAATTTTAGAGATATGAATAATCTTTGATGACGACAAATGTTAGAGAGATAGATTTTGCCCCAGTCTCAGAGGATATTTTGAATTATCCTTTGCACAGTTTCTATATCCAAGTGTTTGAGGAACTTAAAAATCACTGTGACGAACTCTTTGAAAGATTCGTGATGTGAAAATCTTAAAATTGCAAAGATTTCGAGTATCTATTGATGAATTTATAGAGTATTCATTGAACTAAACAGCAGAGAGTGTATGATTAATTGGTGCTGAGTCTTTTTACGATCATTCATATGTCTATTATTTCGTTCTTTCACATTATTGAAAAACCAGAAAAAAGTTTTATTTTCTAGATTAAAACATTTCGAGCTTCTCCTGAATTTAAGAGCTCGTAGTCGTTTTACAGTGCAGTTGTAAATATTCTCTAAAGGAAATAGGTCATAATCCTATGTATTTGACAATGATATTTTATAACATTCGTGTGAGTATAATAATATGACTATCATAATGTCTAATTATATATCCTGACGAGTGAAGATTTTCGAGTGGTTTTGAATAGCTCATTCTATTCATAAAAAAACTCTAAGGATACATTTTCAAAGTATCTGATACTCATTGTACATGTGATAATGGGTGTTTGTATGATATAACCAAGGTAGCTGATATGTAATTAGATATATATATATATATATATATATTCTTGTTTAAAAACACAGCATTCCAAATAATCGACAGCAAAAATAGTAGAAGAAGATGAGATTTATTAGATATTGCTTAAAGGTTGCATCAGATCGATATTGGTCACCAACTCAATACCAACTATCAGATGTGTATGTAGTCAGTAATTCATATGAAAGTTACAACTATGTTATATTGTCTAATTCAATTTTAATCAACTGATGACAAAGTAGGTATTACTTTCATGCAGATTTTTGTTGATATTTCGAAAGAAAAATTGTAAAAACTAAAAACAGCTGAATAAAGTTGAAATTCAGTTAGTCAGCATTTTAAATAGAACTTTTCTCTCTCATTCACATATCAGCATCTTTGTAAATCCAAATAGTTTTTCTTTTGGTGATAATTGCATAAAATTTTTTTCTCCACTATAAAGGTCTCTCAAGTTGAAATTCAACTAACTGTCATATGAATAAAACATATTAATGTCAACGATAGAAAATTATAAAAGATATCAACGTTTAGAATCTTCTATTATCTATAACCAATTTTTTAATTTTGCCATGTACAATTTAACGTAGGTAGATATCAAAATTGTTTTGTGCAGCCTATGCTTTATTCTAAAACACAAGAATCAAATGCTGAATAGATTGTATCGAGAATACAAAAGAAGAAAAATAAAAGCTCGAATAAATTACTAAAATGTTTTAATCAGGACGATGAATGTTTGTTGTTTTTTTTATTCGTATTAAGCCTAACATTGATGAGCTGAATTTTTCCGGATGTTAAAAATGTATATGTTGTATTGTTTGTTGTATTATCTTAGATTAGTCGAGCTCGAATTGTATTTCTTTATTGATTGCCATCGGAAAAATGAATAATTATTCAATGAGCTGGTTACTTATTTGCGTATTCTTTTGTATAATAATCTTGAGTTTCTTTTAAATCTTGATAAACAACTTCTCAGCAACTTGTTCAACAAGATTCTTGTATAAATAATCTATTGAATAAACTTGACTTGAAGGATGTGTAGAATCGAACGAGTAAAATATGATTAACAATTTTTGATTTTATGAAGAAAATTTATTCGTTCAAATAGAACACAACAATTGAAAATGATCAAATACTCTTTATATCTATTATATTTATATATAAACAGATCGAAGCAAAAAAAGACACTTTTATTTTCTTGTCATTAAAGAGACATTAGAAAATAAAGTATCGTTTTATACGTATTTCTCACATAGATTGAACGTATAAAAAATAGTACAAAAATAATAACAACAATTGCATCGAGTATTAAAAGTTTCGTTTCATGTCATATTAAGTTTCATTCTCTCATTTGTTTTTATACATTAACTGTAAACAAAGAGTTCAGTATTTTCATTCGATTTTCAAAATCAAATTAATGAGTACAATTTTATTCTGCACGGAATTCCTATAAATTTAAAGTTTCTATACATAATCAGTTAGCAAGATGTCAAATAACAATTTTTAAGGCACTTCATACAACTCATTTATATGATATTAACAAGTATCAGTCGTAGTTTATTTATCTTTGCTATATATTTGATCATAGAAACTGAAATACTTGTAAAATCTGAATCCAATTAAAATATCAATTTTGCAAGTTTTATACTACTATAAAATTATTCAATTGTTTACTTTCGTCTATTTAAACTAGAGAAAAATGCATCATAAGTATAGATACAAAATTAATTTAAAAAAAAAAATGATAATTAGTTTGATTGTTGATCATGTTGATAATTAAGATTGAGGTACCATGCCATAAGTTTGAGTACTGCTACCCACATATATTTCCACAAGCCTTGTGAATGACCGATAGTAATACTTCGATGACTCATATTGATGGCACTTGTTGATCTTGGAATACTTAAATCATCATAAGATTTTATTGCTGTACTTAAATCTTTGGCATGAACCAATTGATCTGCAAGTTGATAACCATCCATAATAGCCATATTCGCTCCATTGCCAGCAAATGGACTCATAGCATGTTGAGCATCACCAATGAAAATAGCTGAACCATGATTTCGAAAGGGTATCATATCTTTGGCATTAAAAACAGCAACACTACTACGTAATGTCTCTT